TTTTTTTTGAGACAAAGTCTCACTCTGTCATCCAGGCTGGAGTTCAGTAGTAAAATCTCAGCTCACCACAACCTCCGCCTCCTGGGTCCAAGTGATTCTCCTGCTTCAGCCTCCCGAGTAGCTGGGACCACAGGCAGCGCCACCATGCCCAGCTAATTTTTGTATTTTTAGTAGAGGCAGAGTTTCACGGTATTAGCCAGGATGGTCTCGATCTTCTGATCTTGTGATCTGCCCACCTCAGCCTCCCAAAATGCTGGGATTCCAGGTGTGAGCCACCACACCTGGCCCCAAGATCTTCTCTTTATTTGAGATTCAGAATTCCTTCCGGAAGAAGGAACTGCTTTTTGTTATAGGATCCCTACTTTTCCTTTTTTTGTAAAATGTAGATGCATATTCTTTGCTTTAGAAAACTTCTTATTTAAAAAGATGGCATGCATTATTACTTAGGGAAATAAAAGGTCACCTCAGACACCAGATGTCATTCTCGGGTGAGGCCTGCCTCGTGGGTGGCCTGGGGTCTGCTGGCGGGTTCTGGCTGCACCTGAAGGCTGTGTGTTCCCTGTCCCCTGGATTGTCAGGTCTAATCTCCTGGTCCTGCTCCAGCCTAGCCCTTCTCCTCGTGGTAGTTCTGGCTTTGCAGACCCAGCTCCAGGCTGGGCTCCTGTAAACATCCAGGGGTGTGCCGGGCCCACCCTCACAACTGCTTGTTCAGGTATCGTGATGGGCCACTTGGTCCAAAATCAGCCAGGCCAGCTTTACCATCACCTCACTTCAAATAAACATGATAATTACATTTGATGATTTGCAGAGCACTTACTGGTAGTTTTACTGTACAACAGGGTCTGGGGTAGAGAGAGAAAAATAAAAGGCCTCTGCCTGCCTCCAGTGAGGCCAGAGAGACCGATTTTTATCCCCAGTAGATTCCAGTCTGGGCACAGACTCAGGAAATGGGCCCAGTGTCTGGCCAGCTCCTCCTGGCCGCTGAAGGGGTCAGGGACACCATGAGATTCCCGAGCTCAGCTCCAGAATGTCCCAGAGTGGCCCTTGGTGCAGCTGGCCTCCTTGTGGTGACATCCCCAGCCCTCTGTCCCACAGCCTTTTTTTCTTCTTTGTCTCTGCACTGTGCCTTCCAGTTCCTAGGAGTTAAGGAAGGCACGGGAAAGGAAGGAAAGGTGGCTCAGGGGAAGCACATTACAGGTTCTGTGTTTGCAGGGGTGGAGAGCACCTTCAGGATATGTGCAAAGTAGACTGTGACTTTCCAATCCCAAAAGCCATTTTAAGGGCCCAGGGAAAGTATTCCAGAGAATGCTTCCACTTCTCCCATGGGCAGGCAGCCCCTTGGCTGTGAGTGTGCGCTCTCACAGAGGGCACAGGATTTGCTGATGAGATGCTTGATTTGGACTCTGTGGCAGCATGTGGAGACTCAGGGTATTCTCCGTGGAATAGATTGTATTCTTAGATTGAATATAATGCTGAGTACATTTTTATAATCAGCTTTTCTTTTTCCAGAGGACTTGGGGATAAACCTACCAAATCAATTGTGGTGAAGGGGCCAAACAGATGGGCCCCAGAGGTGTAGAGCCTTGGGCAGCCCCTTCCCTGGCCAGAAAAAAGAAGGTTCCGGCAGAAAAGAGGTGTGGGTGATGGGTATTTATGGGAAATACCTGTGACAGGAAGCCAAGTCCGGTGCTTTAGAATGTGCAGCCTCTTACCAGTGGGGCCCTGGTAGCCGTCCCTATCTCCCCCACCCCGGGTGAGCCAGAGGTGGGCACCCTGTAGCCACTGCCCTCTTCCTGCCCTTCTGCCTCCTCCACACCCTCCTCTAGATTATAAGTGGTTTAAAGCAACACAGGGTTGTAAGGGCCTTTGTGTCCCAGGCTCTCGTAGTTGCCAGGCCAGCTGGCTGAAAAGTGGCACCACCAATACTGGGACTCCTCTGTGAGTTAGCCGGGCGCCATGGTGACAGAGGAGGAGGTCTGACATTGGTTCACACCCAGCTCTGTCACGTTCATAGAATATATAATAATATCTGAGTTTCTCTCAGGCTCAGTTTCCCCATCTGTAACATGGGAGGGCACTAAAATATGTAAAGCACCTGCCTCAGCCCTTGGCACAACTTCAGGAAGGGTTAGTTCCTGCCTTCCTCCCTGTGTCCTCCTCAGTCCCCTTCCTGTTTGCCCCCCTCCCTTCTCCCTCCACATATCCTCCCTCTTTCGTTTCCCTTCCCCTCCTCCCTCCCATCTCCTCCTCCCTCCCTCCCTCCCATCTCCTCCCTCCCTTCCTCCCTCCCTCCTCCCTCCCTCCCATCTCCTCCTCC